AGAAGGCTGGAGTCTGCTCAACGGGCCAGCAACCAGGAAAAGCAGGTATCGAAGTATCAGGTGGGCAAGAACGGCCCAGCCACATCCAGCCTTGCACTCCTGATCATTCCGGCTTCTCTGCAGAGCTGACAGAGAAAAAGGCACCTTTGCAGGCAGTCTGCACCCAGACTCACCAGCTCACTCCTGGAGAAGGCTCCTTTCTCCCTTGCCCTAGAAGGATCTGGTGATGGCTTGCGTTCAGCAAGTCAGCATAAAGATGGATTTTCACACAGAAGAAGGTTCTTCGCTTGTTAATACTTCTAGCAGAGTGACAAGCTCCTCTACTGGGAAAATAAAACTTCACGCAGTAGTGGAAAATTCATCACCTGTCTCCCAAGCAGTTACAATGGACACTGTATATTCACACGTCAGCTGAGCAGCTTTAAGTTTACCAAACTCAGGGTGTTAAACAGAAAATCCCTCTGCTACTCACACTTTCCTAGTGACCAGTTCTTGATGGAAGCGCTAGTGACAGACATCTGCAGAGAATGATTTACCTTTATTTGGCAATAAGAATAAAAAGTCTTGAAGACCTAAGACATTTCCCTAGGTTCCTGCTGGCATTTCCTACATCTTTTAGCTGTCACATGCAAATAAAAATTGAGAAGAATCAGAACAGAGAACAGTACATAACCCTAGGTCCTCACAGTAAGGCAGCTGCCTGCAGAATTTGCTGCTGCTATAGAAAAATGCTTCACAGGTTCTTTGACACACTCCTCAAATAAGCTCCTATGAAGGGAGGAAGACAAGTTCTTCTTCAGTCCCCATATCTTTTTCTTCTGTACCATTGTAACTTCTCAACCCTGTCTACAGGGTCCAGGGAACCCTTCTGGCCATCAAAGGGGCTCCTCCTCATGCTGTATTTCTGTCACCTGGCCAGACCTCGGGCATTCTCTTCTGCAACACCTGCCCGGTGTGGTAGGTCAAATTAGTTTCAAGAGACAGGAACTTGTGCTTGACTAATGTCCCTGTTCAAATCAGCCCACCTTAGCAAAAGAAAAAAATCCAGGTTGAGTTGTACTATTGCCTGTCTTCATTGCTATTTTCTCTACTGACACCTGAAGGTCACCCAGGACTGATTCAGGATTGAATCCCGAATCTGGTTTGAAAAACTGAGTTGCACAGGTCCAACACTAAACCTCACAGCACCCTCTTACACTGACTGACGTCCAAGTTCACAAAGACTCTTCTTCAGAACTCTTCAATCAATCAGTTCTTATTTGAACTTCTATTTTATTGATATTATGTTAAATTTTTTTGGGACAAAATTTATTCTGGTCCTTTATGATTGTGGCACAAACACCTGCCAATGGTAGAGCAAAGTGACCCAAAACCTCTTTGGATTTCAGCAGAAATACCAAGAGGCAAAGCACTGCTCCTCCAGTGATTTAACCAATTCAGGGTTAGAAGCACAGTCCAAGCAGTCACTGCAGGGAAATCTTCAGAACCACTCAAAAATTTATTCAGAGCTATAAAGAGGCTTTTAGACACAGTGTGTAATCTTGTCAGAGCCGATTAGATCAAAACAAAAGTGATGGGAATTCTTCCCTGTTCATGTGCAAAAAGCTCTTGTTAGTGCTGTATTATTCACCAGACTTGCACCTCCATTCTCGGTGACTTTGTCACCACAGAACATTAATTATTAATGTTAAGCCACACAATTTTTACGGTGGGGAGAAAGAAGGCATCTTCAACAGAGGCAATTTTCAATTGCATTAAATGGACACCCAGGTTTTTTGACAAGCTGGAGATCGCCTCGCTGCTCCAGGGCAGTACTCTGCGTTCCCAACAGCTAATACCCCACGGCAGGGTTTCCTTGCCCACTGGCCCACTTCTGCGGAGGACACAGCAGACCCACCCAGCAGCTCTTCGGGGCCAGCCTGTCCTGGTACAGTGCAGGGCTGGGGTGCAGTGGTCCAGCCAGGCAGCCTAAGCCCAGAGAAGACTCGAGCAAGGAATACAACCACAACCACGCCTGGCTTGCCCGCAGCATGAGGACATGCTTCCCTCCTCTGCCTCCAGCCTGTCAAAGCCTGTGCCCAGATCTGGGCTAGTGTTCGAGCAGCTCAGACATGAGGCAAAGTTTGGTTCAAACGCAACCTCAGGCTTAAAACAGGTAGATCTACCGTTGGGTTCCTCCTCACCGGCTGCTCAGATAGCACCTTCTTTCACTCTCTGACTGCTCCAAACACCTCCTCTGGTTAAGACACCAGAGATGATGATAAAGGTGGACAAGGCCTCCAGGGATTAAATCATTAACAGATGAGACAGAGAGGATTCCAAATCTCTGATATTTATGCTCATGCCTATTACATTTCTATAAAAAGCCCATGGATCTCATACATACATCTTACACATCTGCGCTCAACAAGCAAGAGTCAGGCCTCTCACAGCACTTTGGCCAAGATCACTGCCATTTCACAGGCACTGGGGATGGAATTCAATATATTGTTAATCTTTGTTCTGTCTTCGCCAAATGATCAATTATGATTTCGCTCGGAACTAACCAGCGCACACAGACACACACACATGTGCGTGTGTGTGCCATAAAGGGAAGCCAAACAGGACTTTTCTTTCAGTTTGTTTCAGCTTATTACCCTGCCCCTCAGGACCTCTAACGTATTTTTAGAAAGTACTGAATTCAAGCAAAGAACACAGGAGAAAAGCACGTCTGTGTGATTTTACCACCCCACTGCTACCATGGTGGCATTTGACAGCATCTCTCTGTTTAAAGGTTGCTTTTTGGATAATTGTCTCCTTTTAAGGTTTATAACATGATGATTTTAAAACACTCAGATGCACACATCTATCTTATTTTACTCACCGGGTACTGGTGAGGGTTTGATTGTTTTGGGGGGGAAAGAAAGGGATAAAGAGTTTGGTCTGGCTTTTCTTCCCTCATTTGAAGCTATATGTATGTAGTTAATAATTTTTAACCATAGAATCCATTCTTCAGAAAGCAGGAAATTATTTTTCCACTGACTCCATTCAGCACAAAAGGCTAAATATTTTCACTGAAACAGAATGGCTGCAGTACCGACCTAGATCAATACAGGGCCTGCCTGTTACGGGTCTGCAGAGGGAGGCAATGGAGACGGAAGGGGAAGGTTCTGATCCAAAAAGAGTTGAACCTCATGAGTTTTGAAGCAGGTCCTCACAGGAGAGATGAGAGAAGGTGGTTAAAATACTGCTGGTGAAAGGAAAGAATGGGGAAGGTAAGAATGAAGACGAACCAACAGGCTGGAGGAAGCGAAGCTGGAAGCGTAACCCAGAGAATAGATATCATCACCAGTTACAACACGATCTACAAAATAGCACTCCAGCTCCGCAAAGACGTGTGCTTGGGGAACAGCGCCTACGAAGACAGCTGGGCTGCACCATCTCATCCACCACCACCACAGACCTGGCAGTCCCTGTGCTGCTCCAGAGGGCATGGTGTCTCCTTCAGCAACCAAGGGTTGGGTCTCCCCAGCCCCTGCCAAAGTGCAACGAAGCGCTCATGCATGACTGTGCCTCTGGAAGCTTCTTCTGGGCTGTTTCTGCTGGGAAGCCAGCAGACACTACTGAACATCCATCAAATAGCAGCAAGTCCAAGCACAACTGGTCAGAATCAAGACATAGAGAGAAAGAAACAGAGGCAGTGGGCTAAATTTCCAATTAAGGCACCAAATTGGACTTCAGGAAATTACTCCATAAAGCCTTGGGTAAATCAGATAACCCTTCCAGCTCTCTGAACATGCCTGAACTCAGTTTTTGTATCAATCTGACTGTAAAGAAATCACCAGAGCTAAATTAATGATCCCCTATCACACCTGCAGACACGCTGATTGCATTTTAAAGCACTTTTAGTCTGATAGCTAGTTTTGTTTCAAAACAAAAACGAATGATCTGCTTCAATCGCTCTGATTTTGTTTGCGCTGATTCGATGAAGTCACCGTAAAATCCAGCAGTGGACTGAATTTCAAGCAGAGTAAAACTCCCTTCCCATCACATAGACATAGAAAATACAGTTGGACAAGACCACAAGAGATCATCTAAAATATCCCCTCTGCCCCCAAAATAGAATCAGTTCTACCTAACCCATTCCCTCACAGCTCACATGCCCTGTCTACTAAACCGCGCAGTTACAGCCACGCACCCTTTCCCAGTCGTGCAGTTACAGAGCCCATCAAAACGAAGCCTCAGTCTCTGCTGGAATTCTGCTGCTATTAATACTTCATTTCCCCTAACAGAGCTTATTTGAAGAAAAAAAATTACATACAGTGTAACAGCTCTGATTCTGTAAGTCATCAAAGAACAAGCTTTGCTTTTCATAATCTCTATTTCAAGAAATGCTGTAATTTCTCTTTAACAGGATTAATTTTTTCCACATATTCTATTACTGGTTTGGAATCTCAAAATGTATTTTAGCTCCTTGGGGAAAAGCTCTAGCTATCCATCTCAACTACTAATCTGTTTCTTCTATTAAGACAGTTGGGTCTCTCCTCCTTCAAACTTGTCAGCTATACTGATGAGTCACTAATTGATTTTTTTCTCTTTTTTTGAAACAACTACAGTAGGCTAAAATCAAGCAAGAAGCCTACTGAAGAATTCAATTAACTTCTGGCTTGTTTGGTAATAAATAGTGCAGTATTGTATTCTGCCACTCTTTATTCTTGTTCTGGTGTCTGGAGATTGCCCAGATGTTTTGTCCTCTGGTTTTTTTTCTTTTTGCTGGGGAAGGCTTTTGCCTCCGGGCTGCGCAGTGCTAGCCTCGGCTCTCCTGACTCTAGTTAATCTACATGGCTGTCAGAGCTGTCACATGAATGGTGAATCATGGCCTCTCGCTGCAATCACTTCAGCCCCTGGGGAAGTGCTCCGAGCAGACAGCTGCGCAAACCCCCACCCAAGCAAAGTTTCTCCTGGATGAGGATTTTACAAATCAACTTTGAAATAATTGCAAAGCCTGACTGACAGGCCCCTGGTTTTTAAATAACAGAAATTTGTCAAAAACAAATTGGTTGTCTTTCAAACAGACACCCTGTTTCAGTCTTTTTTTTTCTCCTTCTCTGTCCTTTGCTGACTTTCCTATTTCCAAACAACAACTGGATCCATTTTCTTCTAAACAAACTTGAATTACAAAGGAATGTTGTTCTGCTATACTTAATAGATTTGCACATTTTTCCCTTTCTTCTTTAGTCTTTCCCAGTATAACATATAATCCTTTGCACCTGCAAAAGCTCCACAGACTGCTGACTGCCAAGAATCCACCACGTGACCCTGCTTCCATGACCAGAGATCCTGTGTTTAAAGAGAAAGGAAAATAAAAAGTTATTAAATGTTTGAATCTATCTGATCCCCATGTGAGTTAACTCCGAGGATGGGAACTTAAGTGAAAAGCTATTTTTGTGGCATTTTTCAGTGATGTAATAAGTGATTTTTCCCAAGGAACTTGTGTACTTGAACGAGCAGATGGAGTGAGAAAGATGTCTGGAACTGAGAGGGCTTGAAGCAAATTGCTTTCAGGGATTTCATATGTATGTATTTAAGCCTGCGGCCATGCAACTTTGCAAATATTTTCTGAATTTATTTTCTTTCTGGCAGATAAAACAGTGCAAAGCAAAACACTGAGCAGGGGGGCGGCATGCAAGAACCAGTACCAGCTCAGCCCAGATGTACCAAACACTCCCATTTTAAACGAACAGTCCCCAGCACAGCGAGACAGAAGTCCTGTTTGCCCCCTCACATTTCTTAAACCAACCCTTGCCCTCTCACTCTCAAAAAACACATCGTTAAGAAATTACTCTTATCACTCCCATTATATCCCACAGCAGGTGTGTCTCTTCCTCAGTTGGCATCGTTAGGGACCACACACCCTTCTCCTCTCCACTGCTCCCACCCACCATGCTCCAATCCATTAACTCCCAGCATCATTTCAACATGCACATTTAAAATCACCAACAAGAACGGTGCCTGCTAAAAAACACCTATCAAGAATCACATCAAACAGTTTAATGAGTCAGATGGGTATTAGCAACAAAGGCTAATGCATGCTGGGACAGTTTTTATTATGCCAGCCACGGTCACCTTGTTCTCTCCTCCTCCACCCCACTCTATCACCCCTTTCCCATCTCCCAAAATGCTTAACACTGGAAGTTCTCTGGAGGAGAGGTTTCTGGTTTACGATGTGAGTATCAGTGCTGAGCAAAAAGGGATGGGATCCATGGCTCTTACGAGGCCTACCGCAGAGAAATCAGTAATTTCATTTTATAGCTGTGGCACTATCTCATTCTTTTTAAAGTCGTATTACTTCCATACTATAAAAGTTTCTTAAAAGCAACCTGGCAGCTGTTGAGATATTGCTCTCGGGCTCCCGCTCTGCAATACAGCCACATTCTACTGGGGCACAAGAACACATTTCCCTTATTTACTGACTCTTCATTTAACACACTGTCCTTGTGACTTGCTTCTTCCAACTTGGCTGGTGGTTATATTTCAGTTGAATGTTTTAAAAATCAAACTGTTCAAGCAACAATGGCCAGCCACAATGTTGTTTGGTATCCTGCCATAGCTAAGCAGCTGCAGCTCTGCTGTACGAAAGCACTAAAGGGATTTTAGTCTCTCTAATGCTAGCCATTCTTCTCCTGGTGTTTTCAGTATGGGCTTCTATTCTGCTGTCACCCACAGCAGAAAATGATTTTCATCTTATAAATAAATAAATAGGGATTCATAATTCTTCAAACCCTTAAGACGCTTTTTTGGAATAACTTACGCTCTTTGGACACACAGTTCTCCCGCGAGTTGGTCCTGCTGGATGAAGGACACATGCTCCCTAAGACAAAGGGTGCTACCACCAAAGCATCTAGGTATTGCCAAAGCATAAATCTCACTTTCAAAACCCATTTTCAAAACACTTCAGGTGCTTAAGAAATATCAAATTCAAAGTCAGGGTTTAGAAATTTAACTGCTGGAGCGACTTAATAAAACCAGAATTACTGTATTTTTTTAATTAAATGCTCTCCAAATGTGTATACATCTACAACTAAACCCCAGAACTCATAACAGCAGCTTCTGCCATGCATAAAGCACTATGGAAGAACCTCTGGAGGACTATGAGGAAAACCAGCACACTAAAACAGACATTCATGGCTTTGCCAGAAGCCCAGCCAATTCTCAGTCTTGCTGGGGTTTTATGATAATGGTATTGTCCAAAGAAGTTGGAAAAGGTCATTCTTATTTGTTGGCATGTAGCTCTGAAATCTAGTTTCTGATAAAGCCTGGCTTCCCAGCACAGCTCTGCACAAAGAGCCTTTGCCAAGCAAGGCAAACGGTGATGAATTCCCATCCATTACGCCTGCAAATTGACAACAGGTATTTGCAACAGTCATGCAATTCAGAAAATTGTTTTGAGGGGTGGAGCCAGGAACAGTTCAATTAAATTAAAGAAGAATTGAGGCTGGAGAACAGGAAGAAAATTCCCCAACAGTGAGGTCTACCGAACAGCAGAGCCAGCCTCCCCAGGGAGGAGAGGAAAGCCCTCTCTTTTGAGTCATTTAAAAATAGACTGGAGAAGGCACTCAAGACTGTACTGTGGGGAATAATCCTGCGCTGGCAAGGGCAGGATGAGATGACTTCATGCATTTCTTTCCATCTCTGATTTCGGTGATTCACCCAGAGCTCCAAACCTGAACATGCAGAAGAGAGAAACGGGGCGTGAGGACATCCTCCCGGAGCAAGCCGAGAGGAACAAGCGTCACAGGGCCAAGAGAACCAGCAGGACTCTGGTCCAAATTCTTTCCAACCACAATCGTGCTGCGGGCCAAGCTGACGTGCTGAAGGTCACACATGTTTTCTCTCATAGCCCACAGACCCACTAATTGACAGGGCTTTGTGGTAAGCTGGGCTTTTAAGCTCTTCAAAAACACTTGCCTTTGTGCTGTGCCAAGCATGATTTTAATACTACTAACACAGGGCAAAGCACAGAAGCTCTTAGAGGCTTGTAGATCACTGTAAAACCGGGGTCTTGTCCCTGGAAAGAAATAGAGGGTTCGTATGCGTATCTCCCCAAAAGACTGACTGTGATACAGATCACGCTCCACCATCCCAGAAACTGTACAAATTCAGAAGAGCCTTTCACTCAGGAGGAGAACGGCGAGAGCTCAGGTCACAGAATCACAGAACGTTTGGGGCTGGAAGGGACCTCTGTGGGTCACCTAGTCCAATGCCCCTGCCGAAGCAGGGTCACCTGGAGCAGGTCACGCTGAAGACGGGTAGCAGAGGCGGGCTCAGAGCCCACGGGTCATGGCTCCCTGCTCAGGGCCTCCAAACAGGGCAGAAGCGCCTGCGTAACGCTTGCGAAAGCCCTGCGACTACACTGCTTTTTCTACACTTGCTCTTGCAATACGAAACATAAATCGGGAATTAGGAGCGACACAACTGCAACAGCCGGATCAGCCTGGTTTCCCCACCACCAAATGGCTCCGACCTGCTTACACTGTGCTCCTCCTACAGCGGGCAGCAGGAGATAACGAGAGTTTTCCAGGGCAATACCCATTCCCACTAGTATTCACAGCCTAGGAAAGCAAAATGACAAGGAGCACATTACATGAAAGAGGGCCGCCATGCCAAGCCTGTGTCATGTGTATTCTATTAAGCCGAAGCCTGAATAGAAGACTTTGTTTTCCACTTCAAAGGACCCCATCCCAATCTCTCGCTCTTCCCTTATGAATAACAAATTGGAAATAAATCTTCTGGCTGAAGCGCATGGAAACTCGTACAGTTGGGGCCCTCTGCAGCTTCCCAGCTCAATCACATGCTATTTTTTTTTGGTAAACACTTTTATGTGATATATATGTAAATCTCGTTGTGCATTGCTACACCATGTAAAGCAATACAGCGGGTGTATCCTCAAGGGATGGGACACAGTGGGAAGCCTGAATGCAGGTTTCCAATTATTCACAGGGATAATGTTCACAGAGCAGGGTCAAGTTTTATCTGTGGGCAGGACCTTACTTTTCATCCTAACAATCTCATTTCATACTGTCCCATAGGCCAGTGTCCCCTGCTTCTCACTCACAAACATTATTTAGCTATTTGGATACCGAGAATACAAGGACACACTATTTTGCTGGGCAGAAGGTACATTGGAAAGCCACTCTTCAGATACACCAAATGCCTTTCAAGCTAACAAAAAAAAAAAAAAGAAAAAAAAAAAAAGAAAAAAAAAAAAAAAAAGAAAAAAAAAAAGAAAAGATTACCACCACCTTTAAATATAGGGAGAAGCATATGGTGCCCACAAACGTGAGGACACCTTGTCTCCACTTGGCCAACAACCTTTGATTAGTTCACACAACTCCTTACCTGTGCGTGCCTGTCACCTCTGCCTTACGTTTGTGGCAGAAGTTTGTGGTAGAGATCATCCGTCATCTCAGTGCTCCCAACACAGTTGGGTCTTGGTTTATATTCAGGACACCTAAGCTATGGTGATCCTGGGAGAGTGCAACACTCTCATCGCTCTCAAACCTGATGACCAGACCAACACCCCAAACGCTGCAGGAAGCATTGCAGAGAGTAAGGCATCTCTGCCTCGGCCTTGCTATTCTTCAGGCACTAACAGCTAAGCAGACCACATGGCATACACTAAACTTGAGGCCTGCAGCTGAGTAAATATTACAATTCACTCCAGTGATAAGCATCTGCAGTATTTCTATGTCCCCCTCTTTTCAAGGCAGTGTTCAACTTCATGATTACAGAGGGGAGAAAAATCTCTCCAAATTAATCACATGGATTTGTGTGCATGTGCAGTCCTGCAGGCTAAGGAAAGAAAAGCAATTTTCACGCTTGCCTTTGCTACTAGGTATTTTACTTGCAACGTGGCATTCTGCATGGATGATCCTTACAGATGCATGGCACATTAGGTACAGGAGGAGCAAAATATTCATAAGCTGACTGCAGTTTCTATACATAAAATCAAAAAGCATCGAGCCAAACATCCTCCCCAGTGAATTTTTATGTGCATATGTGCAGCATATGTGCAGTACATGTGTATATTATCTTGCAGGAAACATGCAAGCCCAAACATGGGAAAAATTCAGTGATCTAAGTTCAATGTTGACATAAACGTTGAGACTACATCCACACTAATGGAGTTGTGCTCACTTATGCCAGTACTGAATTTGGCCCTAGAATAAAACCCACCCAAATCCTAGATAAATTGAGAGAAATAGAACAAAAGTTGGCCTACATGCAACAGCATATTTTTCATGTTAAAAGCATGTCATTCCCTTTTTCTCCTCATATAA